GGGGTGACATCTGGGAACCCTGAAGGGAAGGGGTTAAGGGTAGGGTAGCGTCGGGAAGCTCGAAATGAGGGGCTGAAGGGGAGAGAGAGACCACGGAGGGGAAGCTTGGAGGCGGAGTCAAAGGCCAGGACAACAGCTGCAATACCCGGGTCCGGGAAGCAGGCGCTGGAAAGACATCTATGACCTCCAGGTCTGGGGAAGTGCCAAACCTGCGAACCTGGCTCAGGTCGCGGAACCCTGGAGTGGTTGGGGGCGGGGGGAGAGGACGCGGGGTGGGGGGGAACCCGTAGGAGCCAGTATGCAGGACTGTGAGGCCCACTACGTCATCATGAAGTGGGATGCAAGCACTGTCACCTGGTACACGCTGCTGAGCATGTCTTCAGCAACAAGTACACTGTGACCGGGCTGCTCCTGGGCAGGAAGCACTACTTCAGAGTGGTGGCTCGAAATGAAATCGGTGACAGCGACCCGCTGGATTCCAAGGATACCTGGCTCATCATTAAGGACCAGAGCGAGTCGGGGGACTTGAGGGTTCGGGTTATGTCTGGGAGCCCTGATGGCAGGGATGACATAAGGATTACAAGGGGTACCTAAGAGGTGAGATAGATAAAATCAGAGAACCACTGAGGTGGAAGGGTTAACTTCTGGGAAGCCAGGGAGAGAGCAGACGCTGGGAAAACCTAGCAAAGGATATACGGTCAGGGTATTTTGAGGGGTGAGACTAACGTGGCAGTGGGGAGGTACCTTTGGGGGCGGGGACGGCGGTGGAGGGACAGGGAGGGGCGGAGGGGGGTTAGGGCGGAGACATTGCTCTGAGGGGTGGGGCTAACGGAGGTGAGGGCCCCGGAGAGACTGGGGAGAGGGGTGACATCTGGGAACCCTGAAGGGAAGGGGTTAAGGGTAGGGTAGCGTCGGGAAGCTCGAAATGAGGGGCTGAAGGGGAGAGAGAGACCACGGAGGGGAAGCTTGGAGGCGGAGTCAAAGGCCAGGACAACAGCTGCAATACCCGGGTCCGGGAAGCAGGCGCTGGAAAGACATCTATGACCTCCAGGTCTGGGGAAGTGCCAAACCTGCGAACCTGGCTCAGGTCGCGGAACCCTGGAGTGGTTGGGGGCGGGGGGAGAGGACGCGGGGTGGGGGGGAACCTTTAGGAGCCAGTATGAAGTGGGGGACTCTAGAGTTGACGGCATCTGGGAATCTGGCCCAGGTCCTTGGGGTTTCGTATGAGCTGGGTCTCCAGGGTCCTTTCCGAGCTTTAAACAGGGGTGGGGGTTGGTGAGCTGGGGGAGCACTCACAGTCGGCTTCTCCCGCCCGCATTCGAGGACCGGGGCACCAAGCTGAAGCCCCATGAGAAGGACCAGCGCCACGCGCCGCGCTTCCTGACCCTGCTCAAGCCGCACACGGTGCTCCGCGGCCAGGACTGCACCATGACCTGAGCCTTCGTTGGGAACCCGCGGCCCATGGTGACCATCTGCAAGGGTGACGTCAATATCACAGCCAACTCCAAGTTCTGGTACAACTCCACCAGCGGCCTGTGCACCTTCGTCATCGCCACCTGCACGCTCAAGGACATCAGCCAGTACAGCGTGCTGGAGAACGAGCTGAGCAAGGACCGCAGCAGCTGCACCCATCTACGGTGAGGACACCAGCCCGGCCTAGAGGGACAATTCCCGTCTGGGGCAGAGGCTAAATGGCGGTCTCGTGGGCCATTGGTCAACTCTCATTTGGCTGGCACCGTTTTTTATTTCACCTGACTGCCATCAAGTGGTGCAAACATTCTTTATTGGCCACAGTTCTTAACCACTCTCCCATCCTCTCAATGTCATTAGTGATGTGTCTGGCCCCTGCAGACATGTGAGTTTGACATCCCTGGATCAGAAGTGGTTTGCAACCTTTGGGGGGCCTAGAATCACCTTTCAAAAAGATACTGGTGATCAGGCCTAAACCAGACTCACCCATTACAATCTCTCTGGCAGGGTTCTATATGTTTACAAAATTTTGCAAGTGATTCTGATGTGCAACCAAGATTGAAAACTAGTGGTCTAGGAAGATAAGGACAGACGGGAGACATAAGGGGAGTGAACCCTGCCACTTGCACATGCATGCCTCCTTTCTGAGTATGTATGGGCACACTGGGGGAAATATTTTATTCCTTCTCACATAGTCTACTGTCTTCATAGCTACACAGCTAGCAGCACAAACTTTAAATGCAAAGCTGACTTGCCTTGCTTCTCTTGCTTAAATTCCCCCGTAGCTTTCCCCTGATCTTCATGATAAAATCCCAAACCAATAAGTCTCCCCACTCCCCCTCCTCTCCAGCCTCATCCTCTGCCACTCCCTGAACTCTCCACAGCACTCCATTGCTGTGATCTCCATGGTTACAGACCTTTTATATCCAGTTATAGATGCCTTTCCTTGGGAAAAGGACCATGTCCTGTTGCTGTTTGTCTCTCCTCAAGTGCTCAACTAAGTGTCTGGCTCTGAGATGATGATGCCTTCAGAGTAGGCGCCAAATTGTGTAACAGAACTAGGCCAGGGAAGGCACTGTGGCAACTATCCAGCTTTCAGTTCCACAGCTAGAGAGATCCCTGACAGCTTAACTCTGGTTGTAAGCACATGGGCCCAGGTCCCTGGCTTCACTACTGACCAGCGTTTGACCTTGGCAAGCTACCTCTCTGAGCCTGTTCTCTTATCTACTTCACAGGGCCATAAGGCTTAAATGAGATAGTGCATAGACGTGTCTGGCATAATGCCTGGCAAATATTAAGTGCTGAGTAAATGGCAGCTCTTGACAGACCCCAAATACTCCACTGACCCAGGGTTATGGGTCCCAGAGTCCAGAGCCTGGTTCCTGCATAGTAACTTCAAGCCAGCAGTTTGGAGTTTCCCTGGCCCCCAGCATCATTAAGACTAACAAATACTTGCTTTGCTCTTTCAGACAAAGATGACAAGTCAATTCTAGCATCCATCACTGAGAGTCTGCAGAAGAAACCATAGCACCAGGGATAAGGAAGCTGTTATGATGTGGAGCTTTTTGGCCTGTCCTCTGCATGGCCCCACTGTAAGCAGCCCAGTTTTCTCTCTGGTGTTTGTCAATGTAAACATTCAGTGAAGGGATGGGACAATAAACTAAGCTCTCCCTTTCCTGTTCCTGAGGGTGGTATACAACAGGGACCAAGCAGATGGACACAAATGTGGGATGGGGATCCCCAGACCTGAACCCCTGAGAGCCTGGTCCACACCCACCACAAGGGAGTGACCAGCCCCCTTCTAACTAGGCCTTTACTTGCCTACCCCTTCTCTGCAACCCCACTGCAACTTCTCCCTTGCTTCAGGGGATGGGGGCAAGTCTTACCAACTTCATCCTTCTCCCCATCCTGCCCCCTGTCATTTCTTCATACCAGGTAGGTCTTTGTTCAGAGTTCTAGGGTTTGAAAGGAGCAGGACCTTGCCTCTCTAGTATCCAGGGTTCCCACTATCAGAGCTAAAAGGGATTGATCATCTAGCTCACGAAGTTTCAAACATATTTTGCAGTGGAATCTTTCCTTTAAAAAAATCTTAAGAAACTGCTGGACTTGAAACAAGGATAGGGGGTCTTTGAGCCTCCTCCTCTCCTATGTTCCTTTTCTACACCCCATCAGGGATCTCTGTAAAAACCCTAGTTTGACAATTACTGATTCATCCAGCACCTGAGACTTGAGTCCCCTATGTCACATCCCCACAAATGTGCAACACCTCTACTAGTGGCATATTCACCACCACCACCCAAGGCTTTCCTTTCTACTTCTGAGTTAGGACATTGCTTCTTAGATGCAAATGTACATGGAGTGGGGTGATACATTGTTCGGTCAGGGGTTCACATTTAAAGTATGTATCAGCCAACTTAATCCTATTCTCCCCAGCTTGTCAACTAAACCCAGAGTGCAAGGAGGAGATTCTTGAACGGACTCTAGATCATTTTGGGACAGGCATCAGGTCTGGGGTGGGGGGGGGGAGGTGGGCAGCGGTAAAGGACATGTGCACCTGTGTATGTGCACCTGTGTACCTGTGCACAGTGGTGTACAAGGACAAATTTGGACAGTGGCAAATACACCCATCCCCCCATCCTCCTGAATCACAACTCACCCACACATGTGACCAGGGAAGTGAGGCCCTCTCCAGTATAGTGTCACCAGAGCCAGGGAGCCAGCCTGGCGCCAAGATGCACTGGCCAAGACTGTGACCCAGGCTGTGAGGACAGCCAGAACCCCTGGCACCATGCCCTCACCCCCTCTCCAGGACAGACACGTGCCACACAGGCAGACAAGTGGGACAGCCAGTGGCCCTTGGTTTTTATTTTTTTCACACGGGCAGTAGAGGATGGAGTTGCCCCATCCTTGCTCCCCTTGCATTGAATGTGCCTTGGGTCTTGTGATCCCAGAGTGTCATTGGAGACCCCTCCTCTTGCTCCCAGCACAGGAGGGGCAGAGAGGAAAGCATCAAGAGTGTATGTTTGAGAGGAGGGAGTCCCAGCTCTCTGAGCCAGGCTCAGCACCCCTTCAGCAGTTCCCTGAGGCCCTCTCCCTATGAGACTTTGACAGACAGCAGGACAGAGACATATGGCAGAGAAAGACATAGGCAGGCTGGGAGTCAGACTACACACACGCAAACAGACACAGAGACACATACACAGGCTGGCCCCTTCCTTTGGCATGTTCACCCTAGCCCTGGGGATAGGGTCTGAGGGTGGTGGTATGGGGCCTGAGCTTTGGGCTGGCCTGTGAAAGAGAAGGGGCCAACTTGGTACCCTAAGCTCCCAGACCAAGGAAATTCCCTCTCCTAACTTCCCTGGACCTTCCCACCCACCACTTGGAGACTGAGATTGTTCAAGTAGCAAGGATAGATGAGGGAAAGGGAGACTCCACCCTTATGCAGTCTTCCCAACTAGAGGCATATGAAAGGGGCTTCAAGCCCTGGCCCTGGGTGCTTCACCCCTCTTTCCCTCAACTCTGTGCAGATTTCTCCCCTCTTTCCCTCAACTCTGTGCAGATCAGAAAGGGTAGGGGTGGGTGATCCCAGCATTGCCATTGGTCCTAGGCATAAGAGATAGAATCAGACTTTTCCACCTAGTAGGAGAAAGTGGGAATTAAGAAGCTGAGCACCATTACCCTCCAGGGGGACTTTCAAAGTCCTGATGGGGTAGAGGTGGGGAAACATCTACTTCTGGCTCCAGCAAGAGGCACTGGTCTAGCTCCTTTAGCTCTTAGCATTGTCTTGGACCTCTGGTTTTCCTAGGGAATTCTTTTTCCAGCTTACCCCCTCAAACTTGTAAATTCCCCAGTGGTACCTGCTGCCCCAGGCTGGCACTGCAGCCATCCTGATCCAGATCCTGCAGGTTCCCAGGGTCTGGACCCCAGCCCCAAGAGGAGAGAGGGTGACCAGACCCTGGCATCTCAGTTGGCCTTGCTCAGCCTATAGTCTTCCACTGGCTCCCGGCTCTCAACAGCTGACAGGGCGATGAGCATTTGAGCGGCGTAGTAGGTGGACATGATGAGTGCCCGTGAGTAGGGCACGGGAAAGCGGAACTTGTTGAGGGCGATGGTCATGTCTGAGATGATAAAGAGCAGTGCCCCACTGCCAGCTGCCAGCTCAGTCCAGCGCCAGGCTGCCCCGACCAGCTGCAGCCCTGCTATAGCTCGCCAGCCCATAAAGCTGATAAGGGCCACATATACCCCCACCAGGTAGGTGAAGGCACCTGAGAGGCCTGGGTAAAGGAGGGCATAGCACAGGCCCGATAGCATTGCCATCACCAGACCTGTCCGAAGAGCCAATGGCCGCATACCAAAGGCCGAGGCGTAGAACACGTGGGTCACAGCAAACATCAGTAGACCTGGGAGTGAGAGGGAAAGAGAGATACTGAGGCAGGCTTGGTGAGTAACAAGTAATAAGGGAGGTGGGGGTGGAGTGTTTGGAATAACCCAGCAGCTTTGCTTTGGGAGTAACAGGGGCAGGAAGATCCACAGAAGTAAACACATCCTCCCCACTCGGCTGAAGAATGCTAGAAGTAATCACCACATCACCAGCAAGGTCATCCTCCAACAGGGATCCCCACAGTTCCTGTCTTCAGAAACCCTCAGACTCCCCATATTCTGGTTCAAAAGCTTTCTCTTCCAAATCCTTGGTCTCCCAGGACCCTCTAGCCCTCAGCCCCAGGATCCTTCCCAGGCAGATATTATGGCCACTGACCGTGCACAAAGTAGCCTTGGTCCTGCCAGATGAGGAAGGCATCACCTACGGCAGAGAAGACGAGTCCCACAAAGATGCGGGTTGCGCTGGGGTGGGCCAGCAGGAATCCCAGGCCATGGGCCAGAAGGAAGAGCCAGAGGCAGAAGATGGGCAGGCACTTGATGAGGGCACTGATCCACGATGGGCTAGACGAGGGCAGCCAGAGCACAAAATACACGCAGGTAGCCTTGAAGAAGGGTACCAATTTGGGTCCCTCACTCTTCACCTGGAGGACACAGGACAAGAACAGCACTCAGAGCCAATACCCTCAGCCCAGGTACCCACCCCCAAAACAGTCGTGCCCCCACCCTCACCCCTCACTCCGCCCTTATCCCCTACCCCAAACCCAAAGCAAGGAGGACTGACAGAGAAATACAGCCTGGCCTGCCCCAACCAGCCAGCAGGGTATAAACAAACCCATCACCACCCTGAGGCTCAATTTATTAGGAGGGGTAAGGGCTCCACTGTTTTTGCTACCTGTGTTCTTGTCCACTCTCAGTCCTGGGGCTGGGATAAAATGGTCACTCACTGGGCAGCAAACAGACCTTGGGATAATGTCCCCTTCTGCAGCCCACTGCTTCTCCCTTCCTGCCCTCTTCTTCCCCCTCCCCAGGCCCCTTCTTTAGCCCCACTGTCTGCCAGCAAAAGCCCTGAGCTGTCTAGAATGGAGTGAAGTCAGCAGGAAACCACAGAGACGCCCTGACTGCCAACTCGTGATCCTCAGCAGTGTGGCCCAGGCACAGGCTTAGGGCCCTGGCAACATCAGGTGAGTACCAGGAATGTAGGAGGTGGGCAAAGCTGACCATCTCAGCCCCCTCAGGCTCTCTCCTCCTCAACCAGTCAGCTCCTCAGCCTCCACTCTACCTGCCCCAACCTAAAGGTAGTATCAAGGGCAAGGACAGGTGCTAGGAATGCTGGCTAGAGAAATGGACCCATGAGTTGGGAACAGGAAAACTGTCCCTGAAACACCAGAGATTTCAGGGGTTGCTGGAAGTGTGTGTGTGTGTGTGTGTGTGTGTGTGTGTGTGTGTGTGTGTGTGTGTGTGTGTCATTTCTTAGAGAACAAAAGCAACTCCAGGCACCAGAAAGGCAGGAAGGGGAGGAGGGGTTCTCTTCCCAGCTTCTGGTCTGGAGCCAACAGACAGGCTGGGAGGAGATGGGGAACTGAGAGGGGAAGTTGGAGCAGATGACTTGGTCTCAGCTGGATTAGTGGGGAGGGCAGCTAAAGAAAGGTTGAACCCAAGGCCACTGCAGGCACAGTCCAAGCTGGGAAAGGGGGCTGCTGCAGATATTCTGAATCTGTGACCCCCTGAAACTCCTCTCCTTGGGCTGCTAGTACAGGATCTCTAAGAGTGATTTGGAGCAGCTGCAGTTCCTTGTATACCCACACTCTGCCCAAATGATTGTCTCTGGCTGGATGAGCTGTCCAGCACAGGGTTCTGGGGATACACCCGGACTCCACAGCACTAGATACCTAAGGATTGATTAGACTGTGATGAGCGGGTCTAATCAATCCTTGGGAAGAGGCAGATGGGTGGGTCCAAGGTCCAAGCCTGCCCTTGTTCTGCCAGAGGTGAGAGTAGGGAGGAGATGACTTTCCCTTCCCATGAAATTCCCCCATCAAGGCTGGTCAGGGTAGGGGCACGGTCAGAGGAGAAGACTGGAGGGGATGACTAGCCCCACAGTCTCAGCATCCACCTGCCGGCCTTTGAAAGCATCCATCCCCTCCCCCAGCCCATATATTCTAGAAGGAGAAACCGGCAGTAGGTGGGGAGACCTTGACAGTCATAGAGAACCCAGTACTAGAAAAAGAAGGGTGGAGAGACAGGGCTCTAGTTGAAAAAGTCTGAAAAGGAGAATGTCAATAGAGAATGACCCCACTTTCCCTAGCGCATTATCAGCGCTGCGTAAGACTCAGGGGTGTCCCCTCCTCCGTCCCTGACTTGTTTATAAGATGAAGAAAGGGAGCAAACAAACTTGGGACAGGATTCCCAGGAGGTCCCTGTCACCCTCCTGGCCCTTCGCCCTCTCCCACGCCTCCCTGTGGTTCGCCTACGCAGAACCCGACGGCCCGCTGTTGTCCCCTCCCTTTCCCGGGCCGCGACCCCCGCCGACCCGCGCCACTTATACAGAGATCGACAATGTCACGCTTCCGAGTCACGTGGCCAATGTGTTCCTCCCTCCCGCGGGGGAGGTGGCGGGGGCGCGCGGAGAAGGGGTGCCGCGGGTCTGGGGAGCAGGGGACCGTGACAGCGCCCGCCTCTAACCGGGGGACGCCGGCCGCCGCTGAACCCCTGGCCCTCCTCGGCAGCTTGGCCTGTCGAAGCCCGGTCGCCAGGCCAGTGGGCTCCGGCCGCGCCGGACACCGGCTCGCTCGCTCGCTCACTCACCACAGTGACCGGGGACACCATGGCGGCGGTGGTGGCTGGCACCCCGCTTTGGGCTGCAGTGGTTAGGACGCGCTCGCGGCCAGGTGAGCAGGTGACGACGTAACAAAGCCCAGGGTGACGGACAACACCTCCCGCGCGCTTGGCGCTCGGCGTTCTTTCTGTGGACACCGCAACGTCACCGCAGCCACAGCCAATGAGCGGGCCAGAGCCCGGGGGGGCGTGGCCCCGCTGGCGACTCCGGCCAGGCCCCCGGGGCTTCGGCTCCGAGAAAAGAGGCTTCTCCCAGGGGGCGGGGGGCGGGGCTCCGAGGCTCCGCCCCTCCAGGAAGCCGTGCCAGGGCATCCCAGAACGTGACGGTGACCCCAATCCCTGGGTGAGGACCGAGCCTGGCTGAGACACAAACACATTCCTGTCCTGGACACACGACTACACACATTTTCTCATAACCCGGGAATAAAAGGCAAAGTCAGGTTCCCTTCGGCCTTTAAATATACATTTCACGGGGACACAATTGCAGTTTGACCCGCAACCTTCACTGTGTACACACATCCAAATGGACACACAATAGTTAGCGGACACACAACCTTCAACATGGAGAGAGACATATATGTAGGTACACAGCAGACATAGACCCATAACCCTAACGTTTAAACAAACACAGATATTCAGTTGTCCCTAGACACACAGCTTTCACAACTCAGAGACAACTGCAACACGCACACAAGAACATGCCACGAATGACACAGATTTGAGCATCCTTAAGGACCCAAAGGAGTGTGAACTAACTTTACCAAAAATACAACGTAAGTGGATTCAATGTTGATATTACATACACTAAAGTTACACAAACATATTTGGAACCTACTTGTTCATAATCGCAGGAATTACATGGGTGGACTGGTAGGTAGTCAAATGGACTGGAATCTAGTCCTGGTTTTGCCACTTCCATGCTGTGTGATTGGGTGAATCATTTCCCTTCTCTGGTCTCGATTTCCTCATCTAAAGATGAATGATATTTTCTAAGGTTCCACCCAACCCTAACATGTTGTGTAGGGGAAGGGCTGCTGGCTTCTGGAAATTGAAGTCTAGCAGGATTTCTGGAGATGGAGATTTCAGATACATCTCGAAGGATAGGGGAGTGGCCAGTGATCTATAGTAGAAGGGCGGTAGCTTTGTGTCAGGCTTTGGGAATGGGGGAGGGGGGAGTGACCAGACCTAATTAGCAGCCATCAAGGAGTTTCAAACGTCCTGGGATGGTGACACAGTCCCTAGGGCTGGATCCCAGCCTTGTTCTGGCTGGGGAAGGACCTACAGGCTGAAGTCTCCTGTGATCCCCTCCCACAATGGTTCTCTTCCTTTTACTTCTGGGCTCTCTCAGCTTTCCCTGAAGCCTGTGCTGTTGACCTGACCCCCCCTCCCCCAGAGGAAGAACAGCCGTCTTCTAGTGACAGAGGTGACAACCAGAAATTCAGAGTCCCCGCACTAAGGTGAGAGTCAAGGCTTGGGATGAGGAGTCAACCACAGTCTTCGCCCCATCCTCTCCAGGCCCCTCCTGCATCCAGCCCCAGTGGTCAATGAACTTTGCCTTCTCTGCTTTCTTTCCAGTCCGGGGCTGTGGGAAGACCCACTTCACCAGAGTGGGGGACTAGAATTGCTGCCCCGAGGGCTTTGTCATACACATACACACACTCCTACAAAGTGTGCTGCCTGGAAAGAACACTGGATTGGGAGTTAGAAATTCTGTGCTTAGTACTAGTCCTTCCTCTGTGACTTCCTACTGCGGTTGTATAATTCAGCACATCACTCTATCTTTAGGGCTTCAGTTTTCTCATCAATAAAATAGAGAAATTGGGCTGCAAGATAGTTGCAAACATTTCAGTTTTCCAACAAAAATTCTCTAACATTACCTAAGGGATAGTTCTCAAACAGAGAGTGGGCAAACGGCATTTTTCATTTCCCTGAATCCTAGTTTGCCTATCTATAAAAATGAGAAGGTGGACTATATCAGCAGTTCTCAACAAGTGGGGCCTATCAAAATTACTTGGGAAGCTTTCTAAAATCAGATACCCTTGTTCCATCCCAGACCTACTATCTTGGTGGCACAGATTTGAATAACTGTATATACATTAATACCTAACTATACAAAACATGAGACCTAGAATTGTCATCCACGGGGCTTGAATCAGTGCTTGATTACCCAATAGGCAAACTAATCATATACATAGGCTGCCCACAAAGCAGAGGCATTTTCCTTCTTTGCTGGTTATTCTCTGCTTGCCCTCCCACCACCCAGATCCATTCTTGGCTGGTCTCCATGCTGCTCCAGGAGCCTGAGCTCTATGGACTGTATCCCCAGGCTCACCAGGGCTCTCACTTCTGTATGAATTCAGCTCATAAGAGTCATAGGCAGGCAGACCTGAAGGTGGGAGGAGAACTTGGATAAGTCCGACTGGACCAGGCTAAGATTCTGGCAATGGCTGTACTCCTCCAAGGCTACAGCTATAGCCTCCCTCCTTGTGCCTTCAGGCCTGGGGTGGCAACAGCTTGCCACCGTTGCTAGTCTTCAGGTACCTCGTTACCAATGGCTGGTTTCTTTAACCCTGCCCACATCTCTGCAAATAGTCATTAAATTCTCTTCAGTTAAATTCTTGAGTGTGCGAGCACCCTAACTGATACAGGCACCAACAAAACAGAAGCACTACCCCCTTCCCAAAAAGAAAGAGCTTATCCTAATTTCGTTCATATGGGTGAGATTTTTTTGTTTCAAACATACTTTTTTTATTTACTGTTCAGTGTTTTTATTTTGAATTGTGTATTGCAGGGGGCAGAGAGTTGGATAGGGCTACCTGAAAATTGGCATTCCCTCCTTTCTGTAGAAAATTGTAAGAACTGGCATTCCTTCCTCTCTGACCAGTTAGCATGGTCCTTTTCACACAGCTTTGTAATTTTTCTCTGTATTTATTTGTCTCCTCTAAAAGAATATGAGCCTATTCACTCATTCATTCATCCAACAAATGTTTACTGTGCACCTAATATGGGCTAACCACTGTATTAGATTCTGTGGTTTGAAGTATTGAGTAAAATATAGACTCTGTCCTCATGGAATTCATAGTTCACTTCAGGAAAGCAGGTAAACAATTATTATGCAATGTGACAACTGAAATCATTGAGGTTTGAAGGTAAGTCACAGATGACATCAAAAAGACATCAAAATCATTCATTGCACCTGGAGCAATTGAGGAAGCTGAGGCTAAAGCTAAAAAGATGAGTTGGTCTTCATTGAGCAGACACCAATGAATATGACATTTTAGGCAGGGGAATTGTATGTGTACATAAAAGCACAACAGACACACTGAATTCAGGGAAATACCTGTAGTACTGGAAAAGGTGACACTGAAAATGTAAGCAGGTCAGGAAGGGTCTTGAATGTTCTACGAAGGAGTTTGGACTTGACCTAGTGGATGACAGGAAGCCAATTGTCTCCTGTTCCCAGCTTCTATGATTGTTCACTGCTCTCAAGCACCAGAGACATGGGCAATGCTTAGAAATGGTGATCAGCAATCATTATGGGCTTGCCTTGCCTCCTTCTGAGGGACTTCTTCTCACCCACTGGCCTGCTTCTTCTCTGACCCCTATGGTTTTGCCACAGGATACTTTCTCCTCATTTAGTTCATCCCACTTTGGAATCTGCATGCCCAGATATACCCACATCCAAGTACACTCACAGGGAAAGAGACAGACACACCCACAGAAGTATACACTCACACGATCTGTGCTTTTCCTTTTAGAACAGGTGACAGATGGTAGTTCTGCTTCCCCATTGTGGTGGGCCAGAAGCTTTGAAGAGAGAGGGCCATGACCCATCTTCATTCCTGACTGCATGCTCCATGGTCCATGGTCTGTGTGAGGCTCCACAGTCCCAACACCAGGTTCCTATCTTTCTGCCCTTTCTACCTCCCAGAATCAACCTAGGAATATTAAATCCTGCTTCACCCATCTTCTGAAGACATCCATTCTGGAAGGCATCTGTCATGCTGGAGACCACCAAGGTCAAGGAGGTGAGCCCTAGAGTAGCCAATATGACCCACAATGTGATAATCTGCTCTTGTAGGCATTTAAGAAAAGGTCAAAGATTTTAGCAGAAGTCATCTTTCCAGACCCTCAGTGTATTAGTACGTTTTTGTGTTGCTATAACAGAATACCTGAGACTGGGTAATTTATAAAGAACAGAGGTTTATTTGGCTTACGATTCTAGGACAGCTGCATCTGGCATGGGCCTCAGGCTGCTTCTACTCATGGCAGAAAGTGGCAGCAGTTGGTGGGTACAAGCAGATCACACGGCCAGAGGAAGCAAGAGAGAGAGGGAGAGGAGGTGCCAGCGTCTTTCAAACAACCAGCTTTTGCGGGAACTAATAAAGCAAGAACTCACTCACTACCCCCATCCCCCAGGGAGAGCATTAATCCATTCATTAGGGATCTACCCCCATGACTCAAACAGCTTCCAACACTGCCACATTGGGGATCAGATTTCCGTATGAGTTTGGGGGGGACAATAACATCTAAACTCTATCACTCGGTTATGGCTAAATTTTGATGCTGTCCTGAGATAATACATGGAGAAGAACTGGCCAGTTAGTTCAGTTGGTTAGAGTGCATCCTTACAACACTTACTGTTTGGATTACAGTACTGCCAGCCACCAACAAACAAACAAAATATGTAGGGCGGTGTCCCTAAGGACATTCTGGGCTCTTTGGTTAACATCCAGGCTTGGAGCCAGATATACCTGAATTTAAGTCCCGGTTCTTCATCTACTGTGGGGCTTTGGCAATTGTTTAACCTCTCTGAATCTCAGTTTCCTTTTCTATAAAATACTGAAGCTGGCCCAGGTGGTGTGAAAGGAAGTTTGTCAATACATGTACCATGTCCAGCACAGTCCCACATCCATAAGATGCTTACTCTTCTTTCCTTTCCTTCATCTATTGACAAGGGCATCATCAAGCCCTGGGACACAAGTGGATTTCTCTGACTGTACAGCTGCCAAACCAAGGGTCTTCTAATGGGGTTCAATACCACAGGAGGGATGCCACAGGAGGGATCCCACTTGGTGGGGTGTGTGGGACTAGATGATCTCCAACACCTAAGCTTCCA